ACACACACACAGTGCGTCTCTCTGGCTCACACACACACACACACAGGCTCTCATATCTCTCATGCACACATGGGTTGATCATTCACCCGGGCCAAAGCAGCTGCATAACCAAATGTTTCTGAGACACGGGCAGAAAATGATGCACTTCAACAGCAGTTTATCAGCAAAACTTCATCAACTCTATATTTAACTCGACTCCAAACAGACGGGTGAGTTGTTTTTCAGAACCTTTTCATTTTTAACAACTTATTTCAAATGCATGTTTTGTCTATGACATTGTGTTTGTTTTGTTTTTATTTATTTTTGTTTGTTTTATTGGAAACTATAGAATGCAAACTGCTTGTTATTTATTTAGGGTCATATTTAACTCGTCCAGTAAACAGATGGTGTTGAGTAAGATGACTAAAAGCATGAATCACTTAATGATTATGTTCATCAGGACAGTGTGATCTTTTTGTTTTCCTCCACTGTGTCTATCAAACAAACAACACATTCAGTCGACCCTGAACACACTAAGTAGTAGACATAACCTTTAGGAACATAGTGTTTATTCATAGTCCTAATTTGCAGGAGAATTGCAAAGCTCTGTTTACCGTGTAAACTTGTTCATGCTGAGATACCAAACGTCCTTCATGGGTCTGTTGTGTCACACAAACCTGAAGATCCAGTTAGTGAGCGGCAGAGCAGCATAAGAGCTCAGCGCTGCTGGACACTTCAGATCTCCACAGATCTGACTGACACTCGGGACACGGACTGCTGTCAAACAGCACGAACACAAGATGGCTCATTATAATCCAGTAAGAACTTTTATTCTTCACTCTTGAGGTTGTAGATTCGCCAGGCTTTGTTTGGATTGATATGTTTAACATATTTCACTGTCCTCTTCAGTCCTTATCGTCTCCATCAGACGAGGTCAATCTGGGTGTGTCTGTCAATCCTCAGTAAGATCATGCTTTTATTAGTCATTTGTCAGAAGAATCCTGTAAACCTTTCATATGTGCAAATGAACACGATGGATTTATGTTCATAGATAGTGATTGTGGTGCAGTGGTGATTATATATTGTAGTAATTTGTGCTAGACTGTTCATTTGTATTGTCTTGTGTGCTTCAGTGCCAAACCCACTGACTTTGACTTTCTGGCTGTGATTGGTAAAGGAACATTTGGGAAGGTGAGGCGCGTCTGATGCCACTCTCTGATTAACTGTGTCCCGTATGACTTCACCAATCATTAACGCTTCAGAAGGAAGTCTGCGAAGGTTACCTTGATGAAAGAAATGTTTTGTGTTGTGTTTTTCCTTTGGGATTGTTTTAAAAGCATAAGAGAAAGCACAGAAATGCTATGTGAGCTATCATGTCAATTGCAGGTGCTTCTAGCAAAACTGAAAGCAGATGGAAAATTCTATGCAGTGAAAGTTTTGCAAAAGAAGGTTATATTAAAGAAAAAAGAGGTTGGTGTATATTTAATTTTATTTTTTACATGCAACCAGTTTGGTTTTTCCATATAACCAGCCCTGGAGAGACTATAGTGTTGCATATGAAAGATCAAAAGCCTCTTTGCTCTGATAATGATAGAATCTAATCTAATCTGACTTTTACTCTGTCCTTTGTACCATGGCAATCTGTTACACTGCTTGCTGGCCAAAGGACTACAGTAGTTGTAGCAGTAACTAATATTTAGTAGCTAATAGTTTGATCCCAGTATGTAGCCTAATACACAAGCGCTGTAAAGTTGCATTATCATTGAAAAGCTTCTCTTGAAACTGCAGCATTGTCGCTTGTCTTATGCTCTGACCTGGATGGTGTCGGCTCATATCTGTATTCTCTTGTTCACCTCCGTCAATGCTGCGTTTGTGTGCAACAGCAAAAGAATATAATGGCAGAGAGGAACGTGCTGCTCAAGAGTCTGAAACACCCTTTTCTGGTCGGGCTGCACTACTCCTTTCAGACCCCGGAGAAGCTGTATTTTGTCCTGGATTACGTCAACGGTGGAGAGGTATGGGAAGAAAGCATA